AATAGACTTTGTTACAAATTTAAAATCTTTTTCGTTTCTTTTGAAAACGTGAAAATAAGTGTTAATATAGAGTTCTTGTGAACTTTAAATCATGTGCGGAATTTGGTGGGTAGAGTGAGCAGTAATCAATATGGATGGGTTAGTTTTCACAGTCAATATAATTGCAAGTAAGAGTAAAGATAAAAGGGAGAGACACGCAAACTTTAACGAGGTTCGAAGGTGGGGTAATCCTTCTACGTCCTCAAAATCCACTATGTAGTTGGTTGTTGAATAATGAACCAACAATTACACTTGTGTGAATTTCTGCACGGTATATCTTCGCAAAACCAATGTTGCTACTACACTCGTGCTGGCTTTGTTGTTCCTTCGAACAATAGGACTTGCAAGATCAACTTGTAAGAAAGTTGACCTACCCCCTTTTTAATCAAGAAGTTTGATCAAAAAGTTGTATCCTTCAACGTGGTGTGGTGCTTGAGGCAAGGAAACCTTCAGGTGTTTACACTATAGCTCTTTGGAAGGAGGAGGAGTTTGTTTCTGGATAAGGATTTTAAGGATCTCTCTTTATCAAGTTTTTTTGGGCTAATTGTGAGTGAGATAGCTTAGAGATTGCTTTGTTGTGTTGTTGTATCAACGTATCTCATCGTTATTTCTCCAGTCTTCCAAAGATGCTATTTATAGCTGGATTGGATAATCTATCCGTTGAATCATAATAGACTATCCGTTGCATTCGCTGGCTTCAATTTTGAATGAAGATTGTGATTTGAAGATTCTTCGTTGAAGCGGGTGTTTGGACGTACCCAATTGTTGAGAAAGGATTCCTTTTTCCACAGAATCCGTCTTCTAGCTGTTGTTCAAGAATTCAAGACTGTAGCACTTTACTCTGTTTGTCTTCTAGTGCTTGTTTAGGAATTCTGGGCAGGTTCTTTAATTTTAGAGGCCCAGACTTTGTCTTTGAGTAATTTGTTCTTGAATCAGCATAATTATCTTCAATCTAGCTGTTGAAAATCAAGAGATTGATTTTTCCTTACCAACGGGTAGAATTTCTTCATTCAGGACTTAGATAATTTTTCTAAGTGTTTTCTCACTTGTCCGCTTTCTGAGAATTCCGGTCTTCAATGAGTCTTCTGATTCTTAGCTAACAAATCCGGAGGAGTCATTCTTCAGACTTCCGGGTGAGAAAGAGATCCGCGCTAGTCTTCCGATTTGGATGACTTAGCCTTCAACGGGTTGTAGCGAGACATCCGGTTCTTATGTTGTCTTCCGGATCAGAGGATTTTCGTTTGCTTGAGAAATCCTTACTTGTCTCTGACATTTCCGAACAAGATATCCAATTTCTACATCACTAAATTTGATTAAGTCTTCAGGCATCAAAACGCTTAAAGAAATATCACAGCTTTATTGGAAATCTCAAGAGCTCAGTTTTGACAATATTTCTAAAAAGAAAGATTACATTGAATATTGGGGGAGGCTTAAAGTTCATATTACATTCTAAATACATCATCATCAAAATCTATAATATTTTTCCCAACAAAGTTGTTTACCTGATGAGAAGATGGTGTTCTTTGGATAATTTGCATAGGAAGAGATTTAGCATCTTCTTGCAAATCTTCTTCATCAGCAATGCTCTTAGACTCTTCTTCTGCTTTATCCAGCACAAAGTTTGATATATGCATAAAGAGGGAGTCTCTTTCTTCAGCTTCATTCTGCTCTTTAAAGACTTCTACTGGAGTTTCAGAGGCCTCTAGTGCTGCTGTTTGAACTTCCTTTTCAGCTTCTGCAGAATTCCTTTGGACTTCTACAGCTTGTTCCTCTTCATTTGTTTCTGGAAGAGTTGATTGCTCCGGAATTTCTGCTGACTTCTCCGGTATCTCAAGTTCAGGTTGGTTGGAGATCTCACAAGCAGGTGTGAGAATCTCTAAAACTTGAGATTGGATCAGTTGCTGAAATTCTTCTTCTGCTATTTTCTGGTTCTGTTCTTGTAGGGGAGAGGCTGCATTCTCCTGGACAGCTTCAGTCAGATTCGTTTCAAAAGCAGGTGAGGTTTCCAAAAATATTTGGAAATCCTCAGCTGCTGCTTCCAAGTCAGCATGTGCTTCCGAAGTGAGAACCACCTGATCTTCTGTGAATTTTGAAAAGATTGGCTTGTAGAGTGCAGTATCTTCATCATCTACTTCAAAATCTGAAACTGGTGTGGTGGCCAAGTGTTCCAGATGCAGGTCTTCATAGTTCCTTTGCCATACCCAGTAGTCACCCAAGATTTCTTCACAGCTATGGTTGACTGGTAGTCCTAGGCATTTCTTGATAATCTTCTCATTCTTCAGTTGTTGGTCCCAATCCAACAGTTGCTCTGCTGAATTTTCAACTTTCCAAGCTCTCCAATCATAGTAGAGCTGCCAGAAAGGGTTATCAGCATCATCTATTTGAGATTGAGGTGATGGGGTTGGAAGGCTTTGGACTTGAGAAATTTCTTCTTCAATTTGTTAAGGACTCCGGTTGTGAGCAGAGGTTTCCTCAGCAGGTTCCTTCTCCTTCAACTCATCTGGATTGACATTTCCAGATGTTGATGGAAAGATGATTTTCCTCTTTTTCTTCCTCTGAAGTTCTCCTTGGTCAGAGACTTCTTCTTCTTCTTCTTCCAGATTGACCAGAGCAAGGTTCTGTGGTGCTTCAACACTGAGAGAGGGAGACACCACTTGCTTGCTCTTAGCAGTCTTTGTCAAATTGATGAGTGGGACATTGTCTAATGAGCTTTCCTCTACAGTAGCACTAGCACCAGCTCTGTTTTCCCCTTTTGAAGACAGGTAGTATAGCCAATATCTGGCTCCATACTTCTTCCCTTCAGATGCAGCTCCCATAGACTCTAAAATATGTCCAATGTACAGGCCTTGACAAAGATATTTCTGATTTGGCTTTCCGAGATGCTTTGAGATGGATTTGAAGAAATGTGCAGCCCAGTTTACCTTAGATTTGGTAATGAGGGCGTTGATGATGAAGGCTCTCTCCTGAGTGATGTCATCAACATGACCTCCACTTCCACACTCGAGGCATGCGATGACCAGTTCCAGAATGAGTTTGTAGTCGTTGTTCAGGTATGCTTTCTTCGCTGGGCTAGAAGGAATTTGTCCAGAAATTCCAATAATATTCCAGTCCAGATTTTTGACTAGAAATCTCCCAATTTAAGCTACATAGTTGGGAAGGTGAAGCTTTTCTCCCAATTTCTTCTGCGAAAGCTTCACTTTGGTACCTCCAGTAGTGGACTTGATGACTGGAAACGTCCTCTGTGGGTCCTTCCTTGAAAGAGCAGTCTTGACCTCTCCATTTCTGTAGAATTCAAGATCTTCTTCTTCATATTTGAGGTGGATCTCCATATGAAAAAATTCAGAGAATTCTTGAGAGGCTATCATCTCCAGATAGCTTTGATAGAACGCCGGTGAAGAGCATTTGACTTCTAATTTCTGGAAATGAACATTTGCGCCGACAACCTTCATTTTCTCGGAAATTTGAGTGAAAATTTGAGACAGAAAATCTTAGGGTTCTTGAGAGTTTCTCGTGAAGAAGACAATGAAACAGAGATTTGAGTAGTGGCGATTGGTTTGATTTGGGCGATTTATGTGGCTGGTGGCGATTGAGTTTTTGACTATTTCCAAGGCCACGTGCCTACCCAATATTTTGATAGACGTGGAAAGTAGTCTGCCACGTGTACTGCACTCAGTCTAATTGAATTAGACCAATTTTGTGAAGCAAATCAGAAAACTTGGCTTCACTTAGTGGTTTTGTGAAGATATCCGCCAGTTGTTCTTCAGTTCAGATATACTCAATTTTGATATCTTTCTTTTCCACATGATCTCTGATGAAGTGATGCTTGACATCAATGTGCTTAGTGCGAGAATGATGCACTCGGTTTTGAGAGATGGCTATAGCACTTTGATTGTCACAAAAGATTGTCACTTCCTTTGTCTTGACTCCATAGTCCAGTAGTTGTTGTTGCTTTAGCCACAGAATTTGAGCACAACAACTACCAGCAGCAATGTACTCTGCTTCTAGTGTTGATGTAGAAATGGATTTTTGTTTCTTACTGAACCAAGAAACAAGATTTCCACCAATGAATTGACAAGTACCAGATGTACTTTTCCGGTCAACTTTGCATCCGGCAAAGTCAGAATCTGAGTATCCCACTAACTTAAATGAATTGCTCTTAGCATACCACAAACCCATGTTCTGAGTTCCTTTGAGGTATCTAAGAATTCTTTTAGCTGCTATCAGATGACTTTCCTTTGGCTTTGACTGGAATCTGGCACAAACGCCTACTGCATATGAGATATCCGGACGGCTTGCAGTAAGGTAGAGTAGAGATCCGACAATTCCTCTGTAGAGAGTTTGTGGTTTGTCCAGCTTCCTATAGTTCTTAGGAGGGACTACCTTTTTGGGAACTTCTGTTAGTTTCTCCTTTTCCTTTCCTTTCTGCTTATTTGGTTTGGCAGTAGGTTTAGGAGGGATGAAAGTTGTTCTCCCTTTCTTTTTGGAACTAGAGGGGTCAAACCAAGTCCTTTACGACCCTTATGTTTGGTCGTTTCAAGAAGCTTATCCACTGCCTCTTTGGACTTAAGTATCCCTAGCTCTTTGTTAAGGGATTTCACCTTTTTAGATAGAGATTCATTTTCAGTCTTGAGTTGAGTGATCTCATCCAGTTGACTTTTCCGACCTTCAGTCAACTTGAGATTCTCTTCACTCAATAGTTTGTTCTCCTCTGTTAAGGATGAATGTTTGAGATTTATTTCCTCAAAATCTTCCATCATCTTTTTGAACTGGTCAAAAAGATTTTCAGAAGTTGGGGGTAACTGATGCAGGTGGCTTCTGGGCCGTCGAGACTCTCTGGACTACTTGGCCAGAAGATTGGATCGCCTGAAATATAAAACGATGAAGGAAAATAAAGTCACTGAAGCTTTAGTAGCACTCACCTAGTGCATTGATGTTTTGTGTTCGCTTCCCTTTTATGATAAAATCACAATATTATACGTGTACACAATACAAAATTATAATGCACCGGCGAATGAGAATGACATTAAAAAGTTTGTCAACTAGAAAACTTTAAAAAGAGATTATTAGAAAAATTTGAAATCTCTATAAGCTCTAACTACATGAGCAATAGCTGTTGTCAAGGGTTACAGTTCCATTGGTTAAGATATGTGATGGATCATAATGGTATCGTTTCAACATTGACACATGGAATACGTCGTAAATTTTGTTCAGTTTGGGCAGGAGTTCTAACCGATAGGCCACTGGATCTGCCCGTTTAGTGATTCAGTATGGTCCAATATACCTTGGACTCAGTTATCCTTTCCTACCAAACTGTAATACTTTCTTTCACGGTGAGACTTTTAAAAACACCTTGTCGTCAATATTGTATTCTAAATTTTGTGGCATGCAATTGGAGAGGGAGTGGGGGATCGGTTTGGGTCGGGCCGGGGTAAGGGGGTTTACCGAGGAGTAAGGACCATCAATTTTTCAAATGAAGCATCGTAGGTGCTTTAATCGAGGCCCATGTTATAGGATGACATGGAGCATTGATGTCACTCGAACATTCCCTTATAAAAATCCTAAAAATATATGTGAGTCTGGTTAATCATTTTTTAAAAATAGAATAATGCTAGGGTGCCAATACATGTGTGCTTTTATGGGTGCATGTGTGCTACCATGGGTGCATCCATGCTTTGCACAGACAAACACAGACGATAATATCAGTGTCGCAGTGACAATTAACATTTGTGTTTTTCTGTGTGAAGCATGAATGCAGTTGTACTCATGTTGTGGCACCCTAACATGGCCCTTAAATAACTATGCTAAGGGTACACCAAGAAATGTACTCCAAAGAGATGCACCAGCACTTCTACCCGTTGATACTGATATTGTAACACCCTAATCTGTCCAGGTCTGCAGCCCCTTTCAGATTAAAGTATTAACTTGGTAATCGTAAAAATTTAAAACATTTCAAACACTTTTATTTATCACAATAATATTTTTCATAATATAAACAGTACGGAGTTTTTCATATTGCGGAAGCTTAACAATCATAATCACAAACATAATTTATTTATGTTTAATTCAAAACCATCACATCCATTCCGACAATCTCGCCTCTGTCTGCCTCCAGGATCACGTCACTTCATTAACCTGCGTGTAGCAAATAAAACATACTACACGCTCAGCGTTGAAGCTGAGTAAGCATATCTAATGCATTGAACATTCATATAAACTAAATCTAAATTCATAATCAAATCATTTGATATCATGCACATAGTGTTCAGTTCAGATAATCAATAATTATTAAAAATTATTCATCATGCATTCTTCAACATTTATATTCACATTCAATGTTCATCAGTCATTCATAATAATTGCAATATTCAAATATTCATCATTCAATATTTACTCATATTCAATATTCAATATTCAACATTCAACAAAATCCTTAAACTATTCTTAGTCTAAGGCCAATCACTTTAATTGTCAACCCTTAAACGAATTCTAGTTTAAATAATTAAACTGTATTCCAGTATAAAATATTCCTACATAATCCTTAAGCTAGGCCTAGTTTAAGATAAAAGGGTTTTGAAAATCTTAAACTTACCTTCACTTAAGGCCAACCAAAAACCGACAGCGTAGTGTTCACTGTTGGGTGGGTGGTACCCCCAAACGAGTAGGTACTCAAGTTTGGTTCCTGGATCCCGTACGTACGTTTAACCCTAGCAACCGGGGTTCATACCCGCAAGGCCTAACTTAAATAGGTATATCTTAGAGGTCTTCTAGATACCTTGCAAATCAACATTAATCTGGGTATATCTTAGAGGTCTTCTAGACACCCTTAACAATACATTTTATTTTCACAATCATCAATATATTCATTATGAATTAATCATTCACAATTATCATTTTTAATCAGAATATTCATCAAGATTCAACCATCATAATAATAAATCAATAATCATTACCATAATCATCAATCAACATAATATTCAATAATAATTAGCGGCCTAGCTTCGAGTGTTAACACCCTAACTTACCGTCATGCATCACATAACATTTTTATTTGTTAAAAACATCATTTTTGTTATGGTAAATCATTTTTCCAATGATCATAATCAATTGGTGGATTTTAGAGTATGTATTTTCCGAATATTTTCGGAACAGGATCTGGACTTAAGAAAAATCAATTTTTATTTTTAAAAATAATCAATTAATACCTAAAAATCGATTTTTATATTTAAAATAATCCATTAATAGCTAAAAATCTATTTTTATATTTTAAATAATCAATTAATTGCTAAAAATCGATTTTTATATTTTAAATAATCAATTTATTGCTAAAAATCGATTTTTATATTTTAAATAATCAATTAATTGCTAAAAATCGATTTTTATAATTTAAATAATCAATTAATTGCTAAAAATCGATTTTTATATTTTAAATAATCAATTAATTGCTAAAAATCGATTTTTATAATTTAAATAATCAATTAATTGCTAAAAATCGATTTTTATATTTTAAATAATCAATTAATTGCTAAAAATCGATTTTTATAATTTAAATAATCAATTAATTTCTAAAAATCGATTTTTATAATTTAAATAATCAGTTAATTGCTAAAAATCGATTTTTATATTTTAAATAATCAATTAATTTCTAAAAATCGATTTTTATATTTTAAATAATCCATTAATTACTAAAAATCGATTTTTACAATTTAAATAATCAATTAATTAATTTTAATCGATTTTTACAATATAAATAATCGGTTAATTCATAAAAAATCGATTTCTACAATTTAAATAATCCATTAATTCATAATAATCGATTTTTACAATTTAAATAATCAATTAATTCATATTAATCGATATTTATAATTAAAATAATCGATTAATAACGTTCAATCGATTTTTATGATTAAAATAATCGATTATTATTATTTTTAAATATACTGACTATCTGAACAAATTTTTAATCAATTATAAGGAAGGAAATAATCGATTTTCGGCCACTGTTCATCATCTTCTTCCTCTGTTCAATTTTTAACATTATCATTTTTAATTACCAAACTTCATTTAAATTATATAGGAATGTTCCTCAATGTTCACAGATCATTTTAGAGTCATTAATTTGTAGTTTTAACAACAATTTCTTGGTTTATGATTCTTGGTTCTTCAAACATGTCAAACATAAAACTCAACCAAACGACCGTTTATGAACGTAAAAACGATCTATACGAACATTCTAATCACTAGATATATCTACGGGCTTACCTCGAAGCTTAATGGAGGTTTTGAATATTTTCCGTTGAAACTTCCGGCGAAAATCACGTCTTGTTCCGGCGACCTCTCACCAAACTGACAGCACCACTACGTTCTCCACACTCCCAGCAACAGAATAGACAGAAAGTTTGTAAGAAATGGTGAGGAATTGAAGGAATGAAGATGATACTTATATAGGAAAATGGTGAAGGATGCTGCCAAGGGTGATGTCTGGTTTCCTGTTAGGGCGGCTAGTGGAGCGGGCTGCGATATTTCTCTGATTCCAAACGCAAGTCCCTGATTGGGACTAATTTGGTCCCAGTCGGGGAACACTTTTTGGTCCAACTTTCTACGAATTAAAATCTGATTGCACTGTTGCGATCAGACAGTTAAACTCTATCTAACGATATAATTTTTATATTTATTCGTTATACTTTTTCCGACATCATATTTTTGGGTGGTTGACTTTGACAGAGTCAAAATTGGTTTAATTGACCTTTATTCAAAAAGGTTCTCACATTTAATTCATATTATTTATTTCCATGATTTATTTCAATAAATTATTTCAAAGTTCACATTATAAACAATTTCTTCATTTATTCTTAATTTGGGTCTGTACTCAGATTCACAATCAAGATTACACAATAAATCAACATGTTGGATTTATCTCTATGAGATTTATCCCAATTATGTTTATTGGATATCAATATTTATTTTATTTCAGCCCAAAGCCCAACAACAATCTAATTTAATCAAAACAAATTTTGTTTAATTGAATATTTAATTCAATAAATTTTAGGGTATATTTAATTCAAAAAATATTACACTGAAATTTTGTGTCATTGTAAACTATTACACTATCATAAAATATTTGTGCATGTTTTTGGGTAACAAAGTGCGACATAATTTTTAGAGTACAAATAACTTAATTTTTAAAACCTGTGTCACCAATTGATTGTTCCAAAAGCATTTGTGAAGTTACCTCTTGATCAGCATCATCTTTGGCCATTAGGCAGAGAGTGTCATCTTCAGACATAGTCCACCTATCCTCATGGTTGGACTTCTCAACTCTGCGTTCCATGCAGACGAGGGCTTCTTCATCTGAGCTTGAGCTGGATGACTCCTCACTTTCAGCAGCAACCATTGCCTTCTTCTTCTTCTTCTTCTTCTTCTTCTTCTTCTTCTTCTTCTTGTTCCTTTCTCTTTCTCCGTACTTCTCCACCTTTGGGTACGGGCATGCTGACTTCCAGTGCCCAGGCTTCCTGCAGTTATAACACAAATAAGATTCAGGAGGAGAGTCACTTACATGTGGCTTTCCCTTGGATGGCCTTCTGACTGAGTCAGCCTTCTTGAAGAACTTCTTGAACTTCCGGAATTGTTTGACCATCATGGAAAATTCCTCATCGTAGTTCTCCATTTTTGAGCTTGACGGCTGGCTGGAGGAAGGTGTGTCGCTATTCCTAGGGCATGTCCCTTCTCTTGATGGGACTCTTGGAGTTGTCATCAATGCCGTAGGGAAGGGAGTGACTTGTTCTTCCTTCTTCTTCTTCTTCAGCTTGTGCTCATAGGTTCTGAGCTCATCAAGGAGACATTGGACAATGTAGTTTTCTAGATTTCTTCCTTCTTCCATGGCTGTGGCTTTCGTGTACCACTCGGTTGGAAGTGATCTCAGTAACCTTACATTCTTTTCCTTGGGAGAAAGGACGTGGTTAAGTGATGCAAGATCATTTAAGATTTTGTGGAATCTTTCATCCAACATATCAAATGATTCTCCGGGAAGCATTTTGAAGCTTTTGAACTTCTCAAGCAGGACTTCTATCTTTTGCTTCCTCAGGTCCTCTGATCCCTCACATAGCTTCCCAAGAACTTGCCATATCTCCATGGCAGTCTTAAGATGCTTGATCTTGGAGAAGGTGATGGGATCAAGTGTCTTGAAGATGGCTGCTTTGGCGACGTTGTCCAGATTGTGCTTTTTGCAATCTCTATCATCCCATTTTTCTTAGGGCTTTGGAATGTACTGGACTACATCAGGAGCTTCTAGATTCCTCTCAGGATTCTCCATTTGAATTTTCAAGGGTCCATCCTCAAGCACCATCCACATGCAATCATGTAGAGCATAGAGATGTGCTTCCATCATGATCTTCCAATCATCATAGCCTAGAAGAGAAAACTTGGACAAACCGTGATCTATATTGTTCACCATTATGATCACTTCTCGTTAATCTAAATGTAGATAGTGAGAAGTTTGCTCTGATACCAATTGGTGGTTCCAAAGTGGTGAGATACAAAGTCTAGAGGGGGGGTGAATACACTTTGTTTCAAGGCCAATGTTGCTACTGCACTCGTGCTGGCTTTGTTGTTCCTTCGAAGGTCACGCTTCTTCAACAACTGCAAGGTCCGAACAATAGGACTTGCAAGATCAACTTGTAAGAAAGTTGACCTACCCCCTTTCTATCAAGAAGTTTGATCAAAAGTTGTATCCTTCAACGTGATGTGATACTTGAGGCAAGGAAACCTTCAAGTGTTTACACTATAGCTCTTTGGAAGGAGGAGAAGTTTGCTTCTGGATAAGGAGTTTAGAAATCTCTCTGGGCTAACTGTGAGTGAGATAGCTTTGTTGTTAGAGATTGCTTCGTTGTGTTTTTCTATCTCATGGGTTGTATTGTTGTATATTGTTGTTCTTCTCTAGTCTTCCAATGATGTTATTTATAGCTGGATTGGATAATCTATCCGTTGAATCACAATAGACTATCCGTTGCATTTGCTTGCTTCAATTTTGAATCAAGATTGTGATTTTGAAGATTCCTCGTTGAAGTGGGTGTTTGTACATACCCAATTGTTGGAGGAGGGATTCCTTTTCCCACAGAATCCGTCTTCTAGCTGTTGTTCAAGAATTCTGAACTGTAGCACTTTACTCTGTTTCTCTTCTAGTGCTTGTTTAGGAATTCTGGACAGGTTCTTTAGTTTGAGAAGTTTAGACTTTGTTTTTGAGTCATTTGTTCTTGAATCAGCATAATTATCTTCAATCTAGCCGTTGAAAATCAAGAGATTGATTTTTCCTTACCAACGGGTAGAATTTCTTTATTCATGACTTAGATAATTTTCTAAGTCTTTTCTCACTTGTCCGCTTTTGAGAGTTTCGGTCTTTCTCGAGGCATCCGGTTCTTAGCTGACAAATCCAGAAGAGTCATACTCAGTCTTCCGGGTGAGAAAGAGATCCGCGCTAGTCTTCCGACTTGGATGACTTAGCCTTCAGCGGGTTGTAGCGAGACATCCGGTTATCATGTAGTCTTCCGGATTGGAGGATTTTCATCCGCTTTGAGAAATCCTTACTTGTCTCTGACATTTCCGATCAAGATATCCAATTTCCAAATCACTGAATTTGATTAAGTCTTCAGGCATCAAATCGCTTAAAGAAATATCACAACTTTATTAGAAATCTCAAGAACTCGGTTTTAACAATATTTCTAAAAAGAAAAATTACATTGAATATTGGGGGAGACATAAAGTCCCTATTACATTCTAAATACATCATCATCAAAATCTATAATATTTTTCCCAACAGTGGCTATGGGTAGTTGTGTTGCTCAAATTTTATGGATGATGCAAACACTAGGTGACTTTAACTTAAAATTTTCAAAAGTGCCTATTTCTTGTGATAACTCAAGTGCAATAAATATTTCCAAAAATCCTGTTTTGCATTCTAGAACTAAACATATAGAAATAAATCATTTCATACGTGATCATGTTGCAAAGGGAGATATTCAAATTGAATATGTAAATACACTTGAAAAACGTGCCAACATTTTTACAAAACCATTGGATGAAAACCAATTTTTACATATTTGTCGGGAAATGGGAATGCTTGAATTAAAGTGAAATTTAAGGTTCTTATTATCCCATTATATCATAAAAATAAATTGATCAAGTTCAAATGCTCAAAACACGCGCCTCGAAGTCGAAACAAAACATTTAGCTGAGACACGGTACCCTGGTCTCGTACAAAATAGGTGCCGCCAGAAACGAATGGGATTTTGGAAGCTTCACGGTATCTGGACACGGTACACCATACTGTATAGACGGTACCAAGATACCGTTACCACGGTACCTAGGTACCGACCGTCACGTCGAGTCAACCTTTTTTTTAAAACCCTAGACCTGCAACATTTCGTCATCTTCAGCGTTTTGACTGCCCGGCGTCTCCTCCCGTTCTCTCTCTCGTGCGATAACCTAGGTAATTCTTCATCCCAAAAACCTTCTATTTCTCCATATATTAGTTTCAATTCATTAATTTCTTACAAATTTTATCAATTTTACCATCAATTTCTCACTTTTTCGCTCAAACTCATTCCCTCTCAATTTTCTACCAAAATGAGTGAAATTGTTTCCGACGTTCAAGTCGATACTCAAGTCGGGTTCAAGGCTTACGCCGACCCACATATCATTGAGAGGAGAACCCTTAAACAAGATGACATCCCAGTTCCTGTTCTTGAACTCATTCAAGAACAAGGTTGGAGTTTCTTTCTTCACCTCCAAGCCCCCGTTTACCCGGAACTTGTTCATCAATTTTACTCTTCGATGAAATACCATCCCCAAGACCCTTCCATTACCTCCGTAGTAGCCGGCAAAACCTTCGGATTCAACACCCAAAATCTCTCCGAATGGTTTCATCTAGGCCGTCAAGGAGTATCCACCTATTGCAAAAAGGGATGGATTACCAACTCCCGAGACTTCAACTCCGATTATTGCCTCCGAGTGCTAAACAACATAGCCCTTGACCATGCCTTTGAGGACCCGCAGTACTTTCTTCGTAGGCCAAATGTCCAAGACTTACCCGCAAATAGGTTCATTCTCCTTAAAATCCTCAAAGAAAATATCATCACGGTCCTTAACAAAGATAAACAAGTTGGGGTTTATGAATGCACTCTCTTATATTGGCTCTTCACTCATAAGAAAATCAATCTCCCTTCCATCATCCTAAAACACATGTACGAATGCTCCGGTCGCCAAAACAAACCCTATGACATGTTTCTTACCCACATCTTTGCCAAGAGGGAAATTCTTGAGGTGCGCCCCTCCCGCGTACGCTATCTTGACACGGAGTGCCTTGGCTATTGTGGCCTTGTAAAGATTGGAGAGGAGTATTACATGAAGAAGGAGTTTCAAGATCTTGATGAGGCGACATGAGCAGAGTATGGTCCTCGGCGTTCCATGTCATCTTTGCCTTCCACTTCACGTGCACCACGAGCTGAAGCTGAAGAAAATGCAAACACAGAGGTCCCTGCTCGTGCTCCTCGGGTCAAACGCTCAAAGTCGGCGTCTCATGCTTCCTCGGGCTCTCTCATGCATCGTCACTCTCACATGGCTTCTTCTTCGAAAAATCCCTTTAAGAAGTTCAAGAAGTTCATCCTCAAGACCGTGGTTTCTCCGATGAGGAAGCTTCAAGAAAGCCTTGATGACCTCTCGGATCGGATGAAGAAGATGGAGGACCGTGAGAAACGCGAAAAACAAAACGAGGATCGTGCTTCTAGACGCCGCTAAGTGTTGAGCATTTGACAAAATGATCAAACATTCCCTTATCTATGTTTTCAAAACAATTATGTATTTTGTTTTATGTTTCCAACTCCTTATCATGTCTTATGTTTAAAACTCGTACTTCTGCACTTTTATGATTGAAAACCCCTTTGTTATGATTATGCTTATGATTTGATGCTTATACTTGAATGCTTAAAATTGTTGCCATGATGAATGCCTATGTGTTGAAACTCGTGTTTTTGGTACCCCGCCTTTTTGAATGTTGCCAAAAGGGGGAGAAATATTAGGCTTTCATATGCATACATTTAGGGGGAGTTTTTTGTCAAAATACCACGTGCATCAACTTAGGGGGAGTTTTTAAAATCAATATATGCTTTTCACTATATGTTTGTGCGTTTGATTATTATATTCGAAAGCCTTATTTGTCACCATAAAAAAGGGGGAGATTGTTGGCCTTGAATGCCGTACCCCGTAACCATTTTGATTTGCCAAATGAGTCTTCCAAATGTTACAAACATCATTTGCAGGAAGAAAACAAACGCCAAACCTCTATTAGCTTGTTTAGCATCACCGAGATATACTCCTACAAGTTTAGAAATTATTGTGTAAAGGTAATGATATATTTTAATGAATTAATTATGCCCTTTCACTCAAAAATTATTTCTAAAATGTCAAAAATATTCTTAGTTGGGGTTATTTTGAAAACGGAACACGAAAAACGAGTTTTGGAAAAATTGCACAGGTCAAACGGTACCTGGCTACCGTGTATACGGCACCATGGTACCGCCGGTAGCCAAGTGAATGTACCGTGGTACGTTTCACTAAAAAGGTACACGGTGTTGGAATGCATGAGTTCAACCCTTTCTGTGTTGTTAAGTGTTGACTCACAGGTTTTGATAATTGACAAACACAATTTATTCAAGTCAAGATCAAAGTGCTACAACGACAAACACGAAGACTTGAAGTGCCATTCTTTGAAGTATTCAAGAAGGTGCACAGGATTTTAATCGAGTTCGAGACGCGTTCGGAGCGCCTAACGGAGGACTCGGAGGAGTAGAAGATTTCCGAAGACTTTTATCTTTTTGAGTCGTAGGAATTTTTGTAAGGATGACAAAAATATCTTCTCTCCAAAATTATTTTTATGAGAGTAAAAATAAAAATTATATCTATTTTTGGAGTCAGTTGAAAAATCTTTTTAACTGTTCAAAATAGTTTTATTGAGTCAGTTACAAAAGGTGTGCCAAACATTTATCAAATAATTATTTTGATATTATAAAATATTTTTGGTAAGCAAAAATATTTTATTCAAATATTTTTTGTGTACATCGTTTGACACACAAAATAATTTTTGGACTCACTTTTATTTCCTTATTCAAATTCATTGAATAAGAGAGGAGGAGCCTTCTCTTATTCTGGTTGTCTCAAACAACCGATTAGAAGCCAAATGGCTTCCAATCGTACTTGGTTTGGGCCCTTTATGTTTGCGCATTATTTTCGTGTTAATCGATTATT